CTTTGGAATGCTTGGGCCCAGGAGTGGGCCAGCAAAAGGAAACCGTTCCTCCGTAAAATAAAAGGGGAAACCACCAAGCGGCAAGATTCCCCAAACCGTCATGACTAACTGATTCTTTCTTGTCTCACTCGGACGACCCAAACTATGGGAAGTGCGACTTCGACCCAAACGGACGACCTAAACTATGGGAAGTGCGACACTGTGATATTTGCAACACAACGATGACGGTAGATCACCTCTTAGTGAATTGCCCAGGTTTCCATGGAATTAGGGATCTTTATGGGATCCCGACGAACATTAGAAACGCCTTGGCCAATGACCCTTCAACCGAAGCAACTGTTATATGTTTCATCAAGGACGCCAACTCACTAACAAGAACCAACCATAACCGACCCACTACATCGAACAAGGACCAACCTCTATTACCGACTGTGAATACACCACCATAACAATTAGCCAACCAGATGCACCAAACCAGGAACATTTACCAACTATGACAGCACCTCAACAGCCAACTCTGATAAACAAATACTCTGTTACCAGGGAGGTCTCTTCTGGACTGTCCACTTCTCTTAATTAGTGGGTCCCTTCTGGATACCCCGCCTCATTAGCTCTATAACTAGGGGGTCCCTTCTGGCTCCCCACCACTATTTCAAACTCCGTCACTAGGGGGAACCCCTTCTGGATTTCCCAATATTTCGTCAAAAGATGAATCAGCCTCAGGCTGAAAGCGTCGCTAACAAAGATAACCTAACCTAACCAGAACAGCATAAAAGTTTTAAGATCCTTAAGGTAGGTTCTGAGAGCTTCAAAGCAGTTGCATAAATTACAGGAAAATCGCGAGAGCTTAAAAGAAAATCCAAAAGCTGCACGACAGTTTTTTTTTAATTCAAGAAAATGACAGGAACTTCGGGAACTTCCGTTGCATAGACTTCAACCGAGTTTAAAGATCTTAATAGAAGCAAGGTAGCTTCGGGCAGCTCTGACAATTCAGGGAAGTTCCATGATTATCAGGAAAATCATTGGGAGTTCAGATAAGTTCCGTGAACTTCTGGGGAATGTTGAGTACTTTAGGCCAGTTCCATTAAATTCAGGGAAATAGCAGAAACCTTCAAAAAGATTCAAAAATTAATGACAACCTAGAGAACATTAGGAAGTTTAGAAAACACGAAAAATATCAGAAACTTTGCGCAAAGCAAAAACAATCACTTTACCGGGGGGTTACAATGGGCCCTAAAATCATAATTTTCACATTTCAGCAAGGAAAGCATGTGAATATAAGCATGTGAATATATTTATCAACGATATAAGTCATGGAAATGGTTGATTGAAACTGATATCTCATTTTGCTAAAATTAAATAAAAATGGGCCATTGTAACCTTATGGGGGGGTATATTGAACCAAAGAATACATTTAGTTAGAATATCTAAAATTATGAAAATGTAACGTAGCTATTAGGAGTACACATGGTTATGATAACTTGTACTTCGTATGTATTGCTAAAGACCACGTGTACCCCTCGTTTATTCACATAAAAGTGCGTTCAAAATTTTGATTGCCAGTGGACATTTAAAAAAATGTGATTTCGCTACTATTTGTGTTAAGTGGCACAGCACTATTAAAATAAAACAACTGGTTGATTTTAAGTTCAAGAAGCTTCTTCTGGTCATCATTTTCTGAATATTAAATATAGTTTAGCGAAGTTGAGATGTCTTTAGGGCAGTTTAATTCATTTCAGGTAAATTCCAGGAACATTATCAGCAAAGTAGAGAAAACTCCAGAAAAGATATGAGAACTTCAGGGCGGTCAACATCAATTGTAAAAACCTTGGAGAAGTTCTGAAGAACGAAAAAATATACCGAGGACTTTGAAAAACATACTGCAGCATTGTAAGAAAACTTTTATAAAATTTTGGGCTCCTCAGGAAAGTTTGGAGAACTTTAAGGTGGTTTCACCAGCTTCAGGGAAACTGCTAGAACTTTAGAGATATCCAGAAAGCTTCAGGATAGTCAAAAAACGTCAGAGAAGTTCCGAAAACTTGACGAAAAGTTTCATGAACATCAGCGATAGAGATTGTCAGGGTAACTCAGAGATCTTAAGGCTGTCACAATAACATCAGGGACGTACAGACTTTTGGGCAGGTTTAAAACCCTTGAATGTCAACAACATTTTGAGAAGCTGTAAGAAGTTCCATGAATTTCAGGGAAGTGCAGAGAAGTGGTTTTGGCATACTCTGTGTATTTCAAAGAAATTTAAAGATTTTATTGACAGTTCGATTGATTTCTGGGCAGTACCGAGAAGTTCAGGGTGGCTTCAATCAACTTAATTACAGAAGTTCCAAGAAACCCAGGGAATCCGGAAAAGGATGATCAGAGATCTTCACAGCAATTCCATTAATTAATTGTAATTCTCAAAATTACAAAACCAAAATATCCTTGTATTTTTTTTCCTTTATTAGAGAGGCATTCGAACCTTGTATATATTTCTTTAAAAGACTTTATATTTTCCTTCAACTTTGTTTCAGCCGTCCTTTCAACTACACTGCAAATAAAATTTCGTTTATACAACGAAATCGCTCGTTTGTTCTACGAATTTATTCGTTGTTTTCTGCAACGAAATGGATTTGTACATTGTATGAAGCTAGTTTCGTTAGAACTGCCACGCTCGCTATCGCTACACCCAACCAGCGGGTCACAAGTGTTGGTTGTGGAAACCCAAAAATGTGGAGTGTGTTAGTGAGGATGGGTAAAAATAACTTCATCATTGGAAGGAATAAATATAACAAAAAAATAAAAAAAAAAGCTTCAGACCGGACTCGACTCATGAACCTTGCGTTCGTCGGATCTGTGCTTTATCCATCGCTCTATCTGGGATATGAGAAATGGTAAAGCTAAAGGCAAATAAGAAGCACTCATGGAACGGTAATTCGATTTCGCTTGCTTTTTCTGCTGCTTGCATGTATTTTTTTCTCTAACATAAAACCACCGCGACGAGTAATTTGATTAATTGTTGTAGCTTGCATGTATTGGTCAAACCGACAATATTTCTAAAAAAAATGTCCCATTTCCAACACACAATCAGCACTTTAGGAGACAATAAGCGCAGTTGTTGGTTTGATTGTACGAAGATATATTTGTATATTTTACGAATAAGGCGTAATATTGACATTCTTGGAGGCGAACCAGCCTAAGGCTGAAAGCCTCCTAAATAAAGCTAAATAATAATAATAATAATATTGACATTGCGCCATATGACAGGAAAAACGAATGTTTCGTACCATTTATGAAAGATGTGTTGCATGTACGATATTCATTTTTACGAAACGGTTTTCAGAGAAATAACGAAAATACATTTTCAGTGTAGAAGTGGCATTTTCATGTTACAATTTTTTGAAAAATGTAGATTACGAAAAAAATAAATGCATCAGCAGAAATGAGAATAATTTCCCATGACAAACAACTATGCAAAGTTGCATGCAAATCGGAAAAGGTCAAGTCTGACCGATTTGTCATTTGGCGAGGAACAGCTCTATTGCTTAAAGCGCGAAAGGTGTTCTCACCATCTTTAATTTGATATACTTTAATTTTGTCTTTAAGGAATCAAGTAAACGGATAGTAGACGATGATCTCGATTTTCATTTTTTGCTAAATATTTGTCGGTCAAATGGAATTTTAGCAGCGCCAGTGGTGTAGTGGTAAGCGTAATTACCTATCATCCCAGAAGGCCTGGGTTCAATCCCAGTTGGCGCCGCCGGGATGTTCTGAGGCATAACATTTCTGATCACGCCTTCCTTCGGATGGGAAGTAAAGCCGTTGGTCCCCGGTTCATGAGTTGATGGGTTGATAGGTAAGGTCCAGGTGTAGTAGAGCTGCCTTCCTGGCGTCGGTAGCATTGGTGCTCAGCACGGAAAACAAGATCGACGGAAATCAAAGAAAAAACATGGCATTTGGTTAAACATTTAAGAAGAACTTAAATGCTAAACTATCGCACAAATATTATTGAACACTATCGATAAACGACTTCATTTGGGCGACTTTCGATCCCTCGTAGCAAATCTCATCATCGGTGGTATCGACAACATTTCTATTTGTAGCAGTAATGGGCTCATGCATTAATTATGTCACGCTAAATCGAGCAAAATTTACCCCCCCCCCTATCGTGACGTTTTTCCTAAACCTAATGCATTGCTTGACACAAAATCTTAGACCCCCCTCCCCCCTTAGAGCGTGACATAATATATGCATCAACCCTAACGTTTTAACCGCATTTTTCTGAGCGTTCACGAAAGTGTTCGAGAGTGTGAAAAAATGTTTACGTATTGGACACCATGAGGGTTCCCAAAGCTAGGAAGAAAAGAGTTCCAAATTGAATAACATATGAAGCAACATTGAACAACTGCTTATCTGGTTTTGTGGCAACAGCCGATTTTACGAAACCAGGCATGGGGTGGAGAGGCTGTTGGAAAAATAGCTAAAAGTTTACCCTGAGGGCATGTTTTTTTTTTCTTCTCTGTTCTTCATCAGCCTTGCATTGCAATGTTTCGCAACACAGTTCTCGTCGCTGACACCCTCTCGAGCACCGTAGTAAGCAGAAATGGTTTCCCCACTTCCTCGACGTCGGCGTGTGGTTAGGACACGTGAGACGTAAACTTTTCGATCGGCACCAGTGGAAAGCGCCCCGTTGGTTCCGGCTCGGTGTGACCCGGTGGCGGCGATGGTTGGTGCAAGTTCGGTATTTGCGTATTATGCAAATGTGGAACATGCTCGACTGTCGAACGTACGTGTTGTTGCATTCTGTAAAATTTTCTGAGTTCCGTCAGCTGTGAAAGAGTGTGAAAGTTCTGGGAACATGAAACTGAGGCAATGTTTCAAGCATTGAAACTTTTACTGCTGAAAATTGTCGCTGGTTGTAAATGCTTTCTCCGTCAATAAGAGTCAATCGTCAGTGCAGGATTTTTCACAACGAGTTCGACGGAATCCACCCGCCCGATCAAAAGAACCGATTTCAAAAATTGCTCACTTTATTCAATAAAACTAACTTAAAAATACAACCGATTCAACATCATCACAAGGTCCACAACAATATCATTAGGCAGATTCCGACTTTTCGGCCGATACCACGGTCGTGGTTTCGGAAGCCACTGACTGCGAGTCGTCGGCGGAATCCGTGCAAGACAGCGCCGGGAATTTCTGATACAGGGCAGCTCGGTACTTTGGATGGCTGATACCGTACACTATCGGGTTGTACACGGCATTGGCCTTGGCGAACAGCGATCCCCAGATGGTGGCCAGCGGGCTGATGGGCGAAGACTTGAAGATACCGGTGAAGTTGATGATCAGATACGGAGTCCAGGCCATGAACCACAGCGAGATGGTGACCAGGGCGACCTTGGCCAGTTTCATTTCCGTGCTGGTGCTTTGGGCTTCCGACGATCGCAGCGAAGCAACGTTCATCTTCTTGGCCTGTTCGCGCATGTTCTTCTCGTGGGCAGACACGGCCTTGATGATGAAGACGTAGGAGTAGATGATCATCAGCAGCGGACCGAAGTAGACAAAGAACGAGTACACCAGAATGTACGAGCGGCTACTCCAGGTGTCGGTCAGATAATCAGTTCCACACGCGCTCATGTTGCCTTCTGGAACATACCGGTTCCAGCCGAAGAATGGAGCTATGGTCCAGGCCAGACTGGAGGCCCACACACACAGGATACGAACCAAAGCGCTGTTGTTGGTCAGAGGCTTGGCAGCCAGACCCTTGACGATAACATTGTAACGGTCGAACGCAATCAGAGTCATGGTCCAGATCGAGACGCAACCGAACAGTGATCCTAACATACCGTAGACTTCGCAAGCGAGAGGCCCGAAGACCCAGGTCTGGTAGTAGCAGTTGATCACCATTGGTGGTCCCATACAAAACATCATCAGGAAGTCCGAGAAGGCTAGATTGACCACTAGCAGGTTGGATGGGGTCCGGAGCGTCTTGGTGTTGGTGAAGATGTACACGACCATTCCATTACCGATTACCGAGATCAGGGCGAGGATGGCGATGGCAAATCCCAGCAACGAGTGCCACAGTGGGTTCATCGGCGGGAACTGATACCAATGGGCGTCCACCATGTGCAGCATATCGGCAGGGACTCTGTCCACCACGGTCAGATTGCTGATCGCCGATTGTGCCATCCATGCTCCGTACGAGGCCATGTTGTTGTAGATGAACAGACTTTTCTTTCACAAAAGTACTGAGGAACTTTTTCACACACCGTCACAGATGTTGTATCCAAGGTAAGCTGAAGAAAATCGCAACAACGGCGAACTACTTCAGACCTACTGTAGAACCAAAGAACGACTCGATTTGACTGGGCTATCCCTTCGGCTTATATAGTTATCATTTTTCGGTGTAATCCAATTAGAGTCGTAGCACAAAACGTGAATTCATAATTTCATAAGTTAATCCGTGCCTTGGCTGCCATGTGTAATCGTCTTCTTGTTCTTCCACCTCGCACAGGATGTTCTAGAAGCCGAGGGTCAATGGCCTCAAATGTATTCAATCTAAATACATATTTCTGTGTAGGTTACTACTGTTGAGCAAAGATCTCAGCAAAAACCTATGAGTTCCACACCACTAGACCACGTCCATTTTATGTTTACTGCACTTGAAATTGAGAGTAATGTTTGGCTGTCACCATTAGTTGTTCAAATGTTAAGATTTACCTACTATTTGCATAACTAATAGGTCATCATGATTATTTTTTACAGAACAATTTTTTTTTGGTTACATTTCGAGTCTCAAACAACTGTGCAAAATTTGGGGACGATTGGTTGTAGCCCGGCTTTGCGCATTGCGTTTGAAATTTGAATGGAAATTAGTATGGGAAAACCTACTTTTTTGCATCTTTATTACTAGGGACCACAATTTTGCACAAACCTAAATACGTTAAAGTATAGCCCAGAAAGTGCCTAAAAACTTTGCTCAAAGATGTATGGTTCTAGAATGTATCTAAAAAAAGTTATAGCTGTGCAAAGATCAATGGTTCAAATTAAATGCCAAAAATCCATTTTTCTGCCAACACTGCCAAAGTCAGACTCCAAACTGAAATAACTTCGGAGTTTGTAATCTTATCGATTTTGTATGTTGAGATGCATTATTCAAAACAATTTTTCAATCACAGAGGCATATTAAGAGATGAGGGGGGGGGGCTAACTAAACGCCGCTCTCCTCACTCATTTAAATGGAAGTAAAGCTTCAAACTGCAATAACTTCGGTGTTTCTGATCTTGTCAAGTTGGTATGTTTAGATGTATTCAAAAACATGTGCTCCATTTAATAGGCGTAGATAGATATGGGGGGGGGGGGATTACTGTATGCTTTCCGGCCCTCACTTATATCAATGAAAGTAAAGATCAAGACCAGTGCTGTAAATTTTCATATCATTCGATTGAAGATGAACCAATACAACCATTCAATCAATTCTGTGTAAACGAATTCTCACATGACCATAATTTGAAGAGCCCCTTTCTCATTCGAAGCTCATTGTCACTGTCAATTGAGTCACTCAGTATCATTTGATATACGACAGTGGAGTATGGAAGAAATCCAGGAAAATGGTCCCGAACAGACAAGTCGACCCGATGTCGGATCAATGTAAGGCTAATTTAAGGTCGATGTCGACCCAATGTCGTGTTAATGTCGGGTCAATTTTGGGTTTATGTCGGGTCAATGTCGGGTCAACATCGGGTTGGGGTTTGATAGAAGTCAGGTTGGTGCCGGGTTGGCTTAGCTTTTTCGCCGGAATGTCGACCAGAGCTCCGTTTGTGTGTAGGTTACACTCAATCGAATGATATATAGCGTTTCTCAAATGAGAATGATCCATGCTTTCGTCAAATGACTAAGCAACTGATATCACCCATTCGGAGGAGGTCCCCTTTGATAGCGAATAGCTACTTTTCTCATTTTCATCAAAAATGATCAAATGATTTTGAGAATTTACAGCACTGATCAAGACTTAAATAACTTCGGAGTTCCCATCTCTCGAGTTATTCGGATGGGTTATTCAAAAACATTTGCTCAATCTCATAAGAGCAGTTAAAGCCGGTCGAAATTCCGAAAAGGAATCAGTACTGTTAGAAATGACGTTTGACTTGGGAGCCCAACTGAAACGTAGCCCCCTTAAAGTTAGCCCAACGAGCGAAATCCGACTGTACCTGTGTCTGAGACGAAACCCGTGAAGACAGTTTGCGTTTTCTCCTGTTTTTGATTTTCGACGTACGGCTACTTCTGTGTTTGCTATATGTGGGTGGCCTTGATGGCAGTTTAATATTTCAAATAAAACTTTGTACAAAAATTTAAACTTTTTCAACTGCTAATAATTCAAACAACATCTCCTCATTAACAAAAGAACGGACATGTGGATAATAAATATTTACACTACAACAATTTTCGTTTGAAAAACTTCATATAGTGAGCGGGAGGCTCTAGCTACGCTTATGAGATTGAGTAAATATTACTTGAATAATTCATCTGAATATACCAAATCGGTAAGATAAGAAACTTCGAAGTTATTTCAGTTTGAAACTGTTGATATGAGTGAGAGGGCGGGTATATTATTAACCCCCCCCCCCCCGTCTCCAACCACACATATGGGGTAGAGCAATTGTTTTTGAATAATTCTTCTGAAAATACCGAATCGGCAAGAAAAGAAACTCCGAAAATATTTCATCTTGGAATCTCTTCTGAAAATACCGAATCGGCAAGAAAAGAAACTCCGAAAATATTTCATCTTGGAATCTGACTCCGATTGGTACACCGGCAGTGTTGGCAGAAAAAGGGATTTTCAGTGTTAAATTCAAACCATAAATATTTGAACAGCTATATTTTTTTTTAGATGCATTCTAGCACCGTACTTTCTTTGTTCTTTGTTAGGTACTTTCTGGACTATATTTGAACATACTTGGTTGCATGCAAAATTGTGGTCTCTAGGGATAAAAATGCTTTTCCCATACTAATTTTCATACAAAATTCAAACGCACTGCGGAAAACCCAGTTACAAGCAATCGGCCCCAAAAATTTCAGTTGTTTGGGACTCCAAATGGAACCAAAAAAGAGTTGTTCTCGATTGGTGAGGTAAAGTTTGCGTTTTTCCATATAACGATGACCCACTCTATTATTTATAGTAAACTATGATCCTAATCTATCAATTACTTTAAAGAAAACAAATTTCAACAACTGAATGAAAAGTTATTAACAAATTAGCAGTCGGTGTTTTCAACTGTACATGCTTATAATAACAATACAAATGTTTAAATCCAATTAGTCAGCATCAAGGAAAAACATCCTCCTGTTTTAATGATTTCTGCCTCGGTCTACTCTTTTTTTAAATTTTAATCTAAAGGTTGAACGCCAAACATTCCACACACATTAAAAACGCTGCCATTACGGTATTTATTGAGTAACATTTTTCAAAATTTCTCTGAATCAAGCTGAGAGTGTAAAAAGGCATAGTAGACGTTAGTTGTTAGGATAAGCTCATTTGTTTACATTATGGCTTCACCGGAGCGAGCACGAATGCGATTTGATCCTGCACGCCAGAGATGCCAGATTTTCAGACTTTTATTTTTTTCTCAGACATTTTTTTTCGTTACAGACATTTACAGACCTTTTTGGGTTTTTCACTGATATTTACAGACTTTTGTAATCTAGGGAAAATTTTAAAATATAATTGGATACACTGTTTTACATCTTTTACCAAATTACACGTGCGATGCATTTTTCAACACGCATTAGAAATTCACGCGTTTTTAAATCCACCACACGAACTAGCTGTAACTGCTATAGACGGTTATAGCTGTAGACAGAGTTGCGACCTATCACATTCACGATCGTCAAACAGCTGATGGTAGCAATGCTTGGTACATTCCTATCAATGTGCTTGTCGAAGCATTCTCCATGATCATCCATCAAATTGACGAAAGAAATAAAAAGCAACTGGTGAATGTCGTCTTCGGTGGTGACCCATCACCGATATGGTCATTCCCGACAATCACGACACTCATCTGTGCTCGTTTTGAAACAGTTGCTGCTTTGCTTACTTATGTCAGTGTGTTGGTAAGTGAGCCCAACACCTCCCGTTCCATTTCGCCAACTCTGTTTGTAACTCACACAGTCGCGCATGCCGAGACGAACTTGGAATGCGTAGACATTGTTTTCATTTTCTCCTGTCGTTTCGCTTTTTCTCAGCATCGTGCTGAAGAAGCCTTTACTGTGTTCGATGTGCTTTACATCATCAGCAGCGAGTGTTACGTGTGGCCTGTGAGCAGCGACCATTACTGATGATTGTTGTTTGCCATGGCTCTACCTCTCACTGCGTGACAAAACGTTCAGTCAGCGATAGTCGGTTGCTGCGTTGACGAGTGTCGAGTGAGTGTGCATCACTGGCTGTAGACCTGTCAATGTGCTGCCATATAGAGATTGCTTAAGTGTGATTGTGTCAGTGTGCTTAGAATGCTCTTCAATTATAGTACCGGAACTTTCAAGTTCCTATAAGGACTTAAAAATGAGGATGCATGGAATTCTATAGACCACCATCAATCAAGCTGCTTGCCACAAATAGGCTTTTATCAGAACTTTTGGTTAGTTGGGTATGTAGCTCCTCAAAATGCTACGAAATTCGCAAAACTTCCACAACGTTTCTTGCACTTCTACGTTACTCGTTGTACGTATGAAATTTCTTGAACTTGTGCGTGATCCCCTGAACTATTCCAGGCTCATGAGGCTTCAAAAAATTGTCCTGAAATTACCAAGTAGCACCTGTAACATCCTTTTACACAATTTACTAATCTAACTTGTGGAATGTTCCAGTTGGCCACCGTCATCCGATTTGATGGCAGTATCGGTTTGAACTCCGGGACGATGTTGAACTTTAGATCGAAAGCGTAATCCGTACAGCGTGAACGGATGAGTGCCATCTTCGATGTTGCAGCACTAGGTCCCACACCATGGAGGGAAAGTGGGTCATTCTGCCGACGTAGATCTAATCTCTGCGCCAAACGCTCACTGAGGAGGTTACGTGAGGAGCAGCAATCCAGGAGGGCTCTAGCGAATTGAACGTTTCCATTGTATTCAGCTATCTTGACGACTGCAGTTGAAAGGAGAACAATGCTAATATCAGCATTCGCGTTAGCAGGAAGAGCTACTTGTTTGGAATTGGAGGATCCAACTACGGGTGCGGTGGCGAAAGTTTGTGAGGCAGACGAATTGTTTAAATTTGCGACTGGGCTGACATTGAGGAATAGTGGGTTTAGTGGGTTGCGAGTTATCTTATCCTTGACTGGAACCGTTGCCTGTTGG